GGGAGGAAGCCAGAACTCAGCTCCGCCGCCGGCGGCGCCCCAGATAGTCCGGAGCCAGCCGAGACCCCGCGGGAGCCGGCGGGCAGCAAGACCGGCCACCCGAACCGGACAGTGGCCTGCGGGCGGCTCCGGGGAAGCGGGGCTGGGGGTTGAGGCCCCTGGGCGCGTGTGCCGGACATGCCACTCCCTGGTCCAGGGCCTGGGAGGAGTGGACAAAGCACCAGAACACCCCTGGGCCGGCCGGGAGGCACAGGGGCCTCCCCGCCCCCACTGGCCACGCAGCACTGGGAGGCCGAGCGGCGCCGGCCACAGGCGGGCCTTGAGCACACAGGCCGGCCGTCTCCGCCTCCGTGACGAGGTCGTGCACAGCACGGGCCGGGCGCGCCCAGCAGGTGCGGTGCCCGGGCAGTGTGGGCAGCACCCGGCTGCCCGCGGTGGCTGGCCCGGGCTGAGTGGAGGAGCTGGGAGTCGGGTCCACTGGCCGGGGGGAGCCCGGACGGCGCGCCCCTCCGACTAAGGCACAGCTGGGCCCTCAGACTGAGGCCCCCCCAGGGCACTGGGGCCAGGCTGACCGGGCGGCTGCTGGACAGGGTCCCGCCACCTCCAGGGTGGCGCTGCCAGCGTGTGGGACCTGCATGGGTCTCTGGAATCAGCCCCAGGGCAGGGCAGGGCCCTTGGCCACCACCGCTCACCTGGCCATATGCCTGTCACGTCTGGCCACATCCGACAGGAACGAAGCCGTGTCCACACAAGGTCCACTCCCTGTGTGCCTGTGACAGCCCCCCAATGTCCACTGACAGGTGACGGACACCCACTGTCCAGCCCAAAGGACAGGCCAGGCCGTGGGGAGCAGCAACCCGAGGCGTGCGCTGTGGAGCCACAGGAGGGCCTGCCCCGCAGCAGCACGGGGCCAGCGGGGGCGGGCAGGGGGGCTCCCGGGAGGGCCAGGTGCCCGCCTTGCGTGTGCCGAGCGGCCAGCAGGCCCTGCTGGTGGGCTCCCATCTCAGGCCGCCGTCTGCCCGAATGGCCTCTGTGGCCACCCCAGCCCTCGCCAGGCGTTTCTCTCGGGAGCACACAGGCCGCTCGTGTCAGGAGCTGCCCTGGACGCAGTCCCTGCCCGCGCCCTCCTGGGCAGCCGTGAGGCTCACCCCATGGGCTCCCTGGGTGACGGGCGTGTCTGCAGAGACTGGGGCCCAACCCCACGACCTGCACCTCTGAACCCCCAGGCCATCCCTGCCTGGGGTCAGAGTAGGACACTGGCCGGGTAGACACTGGCCTGGGGACACTCACTGCCAGCACACCAAGCATCCCAGGAGAGGGCCACTGGTGGGCGTGGAGGCCAGGCACATGGGACCTGGGCTCCTCGGGCTGCTGGGCAGTGCGGGGATGCCCAGCCCCTGCCGGCCACGAGGGGGCTGGAGGGCTCTGAGAGGGCTCCTCTCAAGGTGCCGGGCCCCATCCCCAGAGGACTGGGCAATCTAAGTCTCGGCAGAGGCCTGGGACTGGGCAGGGTGGACAAGCCCTGGGCCTCTCACCTGGGGAAGGGGAGCACCAGGCCTGGGTCCTGGGCTTCCCCCTGACCCACCCCGGCCAGACCTCTCTGCACTGCAGCTCCTCCTTGGCACCGGCCCCCCAGGCCCTGCCCAGACCCACCAGTAGACCACCAGCCAGGGAAGTGGCCCCAGCACGCAGCTGCGCCATGGGGTGCCAGGGTCACTAGGGTCAGATCGGGTGCAGGGTGGGCCAGTGGGAGCAGGAGGCTGGTTGCTACGGCAACAGGAACTCGGGGGCCTGGTGCCCTCCTCTGAACAGGAAGAGCCAAGGTGCCCGGTGGGGCTGGGACCTCCCAGGCTGGCTGGTGGCCGCAGGGCTCAGTCTCAGAAGCTGAGAACAGCATTCTCCAGAGAAGGGGGGGCCCTGCCACTCGGAGGGTTGAGGACGGGGCAGAGATCCTCACCGGACCCCCGACCCCCAGGGGAGTCCTCTGCTCTGAAACCATAACCCTGCCTCAATGGTGGCCGGCGCGCACCGGTCCAGCCCGTGGGTCCAGCCACGCCCCCTCCTTTTATATGTAGCGCAAGGACCATAGAATGGGCCAATCAGGTGTGAGCCATGAGCTGATTGGTGCTAAAAGGCCCAATCAGCCATAGGATTGAAAAATGGCCCAATCAGATTTGTAGATGGGGTCCCTGGAAGAGGCTATAGGCCAGCGAGGGGTTGGGGGAAGAGGCCACAGTTCCTGAGGCAGCAAGGAGGCCAGCACTGGAGGCCAGCTCCGGCCAGGGGGCCGGGAGAGGCTCGGGGAGGGAGAGGAGCAGGGCTGGGGACCTGGGCTGGGCCTTGCTCCTGACCCTGCCCGGCATCGCCCAGTAACGCAGGAAGGGCTGCAAGCACGGGGTGCCTCTGACCCCGCCTGAGTGACCAGGGGTGACCATCACCACAGGCCAGTGCTGTCCTGCTCTCTTTACAGGTATCCGGCACTCTGCTTACATCTGTGCTTCTGATGGGCACTGCGGGGTGAGACAGCTGACCCTTGGGGCTACAGAGAGTCCTGTCTCCGGGTTGTAGGATGAACCAGGGCAGCTGTTCCTGGCGCCCGAGGCTTCTTGCTGATGTGTGCGGGTGAGACCCCCAGGTGCTGCCCGGTCCTGCCAGGGCCTGTCCCCCGCCTGGCCGCAGCCCTGACGCACAGTGCTACTGCAGCCCTCGGCTTGGCTTTTGGCTGTGGCCTGACCACCCTTCCTGCCGTGTTTCAGCTCCAGGGCCAGAAGGGGTCGCGCCCCAGGCAGGATGGTGTCCCAAGAGCCCCAGGCCTCCCTGACCGGTGGCCGGAGGTGGGTGGCAACAGGCGGAGGCTCAGCACGGCAGGTGGGAGGCCGGCCTCTGGCCTGAGCCCCTGGGGGCGAGCAGCCGGCCCAGCAGCGCCCAGCCAGGCACCGGCCAGAGCCCCGGAAGTCGCGTGCAAGGCCGGGGCTGGGCCGGCCGCTCCAGAAGCAGCGAAAGATGATCAGGCAGAAGGAGCTGGCGTGGACATCACCCCAGCGGCATGCCTGAATCCCAGACCTAAGCCAGCTCAGGGGCTGCACCTTCACGGGTGGGTGGCAGAAGCCCCCAAGGAGGAACCCCAAGGCGGCCACCAGCGTGTCCTCAGGTGTCAGGAGCCCACGGCTTTCAGGTGGATGGAAACTCCGGGAGGACTGAGTCGGGCGAGTCCTCAGGCCCCAGAGGCCACCCTGCCCGCCTCCCACCGTCCCCCCCCAACGCCCAGGCAAGAGGGCTTCGAGGCCACCGGACCCCTGCCCCGCAAAACCAGAAGTTCTGGGCAAAGCACAGGCCAGTTTCAACTCCAGGCCGGTGCAGTACCCGGAGAGCCCCGCAGGGGGCGCTGGGCACCACCGCAGCCCAGGAGCAGCAGCCAGGGCCCTGGGGGGGCCCACGCCGGGCACTCGCTGCCTGGCCAGCGAGAGTGAGGACAGGGGCGGCGGCTGCTCCTCTGGGGTGCTGGGAGCCTCAGGGCCCGCCACGGGCCAGCTGGCCGGCGGTGGGCGAGGAGCC